CCAGAAGTCAATGACCAACCCCTGTAAGCTCCAAACCCAAATCCAAACCCCCGTCCGGCTTTTCAAGGCCCGACGCCTCTGTGGGTGGAAAGTCTGGAGACATGGAGTCAGGAACAGGGACAACCCATTCCATACAATGGAGACCGAAGCGTCTATAACCTGAGCGAGGGAGGCTCGGCGGACAGAGTCCTGCCTATTCTGGTCCGCAGAGTTGGTCGTAATGAGATTCAGGGTAGGACAGCCCTCAACTGAATCGCGGAAGTTGACGCCAATGCAGGAGTCAATACTGTCTGCATTCGTCGGCTGGAAGATGCTCGTGAGAGAGCTGAAAGAGACAATGAGTCTCTACTGCAAGCACTAGCTGAGACTAGGGCTGAAGTCATAGAGCATCGCGTACGCCAGTGAGTGTACGAGTGACGCCTTCTTGAATTGGAGCGTCAGATGGATGACTTAAGGGTTCGCCCAAGGGGTTCCCATCACCAGTAGGGAATGCTCTGCTCAAATTTCCTTTTGTCTAAGGATTAACATTCTTATCTATGCTCTAATTAGCACTTCTCCCTGTAATTTCCTGTTATTTTAAGACCTTGAACTTTCAGTCGATAGGTCTTTATTCTGTCAAAATTTTCCTATCTTGGTTTGATGTAAGACCTACTCCTAGGTCATTTTTCCTGAACTTGTTGCATCTGTAATACCAGTATTATTGACAGATATCTAATCTCATGGAAATTAATATCCAAATGCTTTCATATTTCTAATTCTAGATCTCTATTCAATCATACCTTCATCTGTGTTGTTGGGCTATGGAGAGTTCGTCCATGAGTCACTCTCATCATTCTCTCTATTAAATTCTTACCAATATCTTCATCTCTGTGATCTTATAGCTACAAGATGCCTCCACGTCGATCAGTGAGGCGCACTGCTCCGAATCAAACTCCACCTCCTCCTCCTCAATACAACCCAGCAGCTATCCAAGCTGCTATGAATGCGGCTGTTACGACAGCTCTAGCACAATTCACCACTACCGGTACTAGTGGGAGTGGAACTAATGTGCCTCCCACTATTGTCGAAGCTCCAGTGCGCTCTAGGGAGTGCTCGTATAAGGACTTCGCCAGCTGCAAACCCAGGGCATTCAATGGAACTGGCGGAATCATTGCCCTCTCGCAATGGTTCGAGAAGACGGAGTCGATCTTTGAGATCTGCTCCTGTCCGGAGGGGAGCAAGGTAAAATTTGCCGCCTGCACCTTCGCGGACCGAGCCCTGACGTGGTGGAATAGCTATGTCAAGTCACTATCTCTTATAGTGGCAAATGCTATCGGATGGGAAGCTCTGAGGGAGCTCATGATCGAGGAATACTGCCCGAGGGGCGAAGTTCAGAAGTTGGAGCAAGAGCTTTGGAGCCTAACCATGAAGGGCTCCGACATAGTCTCCTACACTGCCAGATTCAGCGATCTGGTAGCGCTATGTCCAGGAATGGTCCCTTCTGAAGCAAAGAAGGTGGAAAGGTACATCTGGGGGCTGGTGCCTCCATTTTAGGGGAATGTCCTAGCTTCCAACCCCACTACCTTCGATAGTGCCAAGCGATTGGCACAATGACTCATTGACCATGGGGTCTGTACCTCGTCAACAACAACAACCTTAGCCATCTCAGAACCCTCCAAAGCCGCTGATAACAAGCGGAAGTTCTGGGATGACAAGAAGAAGAAAGCTACCAAAAAGCAACAGGTCGTGGCGGTTCATGCTACGATAGCACCTGCCGCTGCTACACCGGTAAAGCAGTACGCTGGAAACTTGCCGAAGTGCAACAAATGCAGCTTCCACCACAATGGACCCTGCCGGGAAATGCAGTGCTCTAACTGCAACAGGAAGGGGCACACTTCCCGTTTCTGCAAAGCTCCGGCAAGCCTAATCACCCAGGTCCCCGACGTTGGTGTAGGCCAGGCTTGCTACGGTTGTGGCGAGGTGGGCCACTACAAAAGGAACTGCCCGAAGGCAGGGAATGTCGGCGGAGTGGGAAAGGTTTTGGCTATAGGCCACAAGGAAGCGGTTGCCGACCCTACAGTGGTCACTGGTACGTTTCTCCTCGATAACTCTTGTGCATGCATTCTATTTGATAGTGGAGCGGAGAGGAGTTTCGTGAACCAGAAATTTGCTCACTTGCTTAAACATAAGTCTCATGCACTTAAAGAACCGTTCACTGTAGAAATGGGTAATGGGAAGAGAGAGAGCACTAGCTGCATATACATAGGATGTACACTAACACTAGATAGCCATTCGTTTCCAATCGACCTCATGCCAGTCTCAATTAAAAGTTTCAACGTCATCATCGGCATGGATTGGTTGAGTTCTCATCGCGCTGACATCATGTGTTACGAAAAGGCTGTTCGCCTTAATCTGCCGTCTAGTGAAACTCTAGTTATCTACGGCGACAAACCCGACACGCACCTTCGTATCATCTTGAGCATTCAAGCCCAAAAAATCTTGCGAAAGGAATGTCGCGCATTCCTTGCTCATGTTGTCGATGTGAGCCAAGAGACGAAAGATATAAAGAAAATTCCAGTAGTACGCGATTTTCCCGACATCTTTCCAGAAGAACTCCCAGGATTACCTCCGCAACGTCAAGTCGAATTCAGAATCGACTTAGTTCCAGGTGCTACCCCCGTAGCCAAATCGCTCTATCGTCTCGCACCAGCTGAGATGCAGGAGCTATCCAGTCAACTTAACGAATTGCTCAGCAAGGGCTTTATCAGACCAAGCTTCTCACCCTGGGGAGCACCGGTCTTGTTCGTCAAGAAGAAAGACGGATCGTTCCGTATGTGCATCGACTACAGAGAACTTAACAAACTAACTGTCAAAAATCGTTACCCTCTGCCTCGCATTGACGATTTGTTTGACCAACTTCAAGGGGCGAACTTCTTTTCAAAAATAGACCTGAGATCCGGGTATCACCAGTTACGAGTGCTTGGGGAGGATGTTCCGAAGACAGCCTTCCGAACTCGTTATGGACACTACGAGTTTGTAGTGATGCCGTTCGGATTGACCAATGCACCCGCAGTATTCATGGACTTAATGAATAGGGTGTGCCGTCCTTACTTGGATCAGTTCGTCATCGTCTTCATCGATGACATACTTATCTACTCTAGTAGTAAGGAGGAGCATATTCAACATCTGCGTCAGGTCTTGGAAACGCTGCAATTAGAGAAGCTTTATGCGAAGTTCTCAAAATGCGAATTTTAGATCCGAAGAGTCGAATTCTTGGGGCACGTGGTTAGCGAAGAGGGAATACACGTGGACCCTTCCAAAATCAAAACCATTGAGAATTGTGTAAGGGTCGAAGACCAGTTGTAATATGTCTAAGTCCTAAGTTTATTTTACAAGGCACTTTTGTATCAAAGCGTATTGTTTAGTCCTTGTAATTTTTTTGTATGCTTTCTCGTTTCCTATAAATAGGGACATTACTTAGAGTTAGATAAGAGTCTTTTGTACAACTTGTCTATTTTTCTCTCCGTAACAGTTGAAAGCATAATAGAGCTGAAACCAGATCATATTTACATCTCGTGTTCAATCTATATTCGTATAACTCTGATTTGATACATACTTGATTCCACACTTCATCAATTGGTATCAGAGCCAATTGAGAGATTATGCTGTTAATATGAAAAAGATACCATTGTATTGTGATTCACAAAGTGCTATACACATTTGTCATAATCCAGTACGACATTCAAAAACAAAACATATTGCTCTTCGTTATCACTTTATCAAAGATCATGTGGAAGATGGCAATATAGAAGTCCATTTTGTAAAAACAACGGATCAGCTTGCTGATATTTTTACAAAAGCTTTGGATGAAAAATCATTTGTTCAAATTTTGACAGTATTGGGGATGATCGAAGCAAGTTCAGTTCCAGGAATGATTTCAAATGTATAACAACGAAGTGTTATATAAATATGTCGATTCAGAGGTCATCATGATTCGTTCAGAGGCTGATAGTATTAACCGTTCAGAGGTTACTGTTCATAGTCAACGCTTCGACATGCTTCGACTTCGTGACATTGTACATTTTGGTTTGGAGTAACACTATTCGTTAGATTTCTAAATTTCTTTTGTATTTTATTCAGACAGAAGAAAAGGTTCTCGATTGATTCAAACATTGTACCTATGGGATAGAGGAAGAGGAAAAAACCGAATATTTCACATAGTGCTTTTAATCAATCTGATTTATTTCGTACCCGTCACTCAATGAGAAAATGAGTCCAATTCTAAAGGATCAAACCTATGGGACTTAAGGAATAATATAAAAAAGAGAGGCAAAAATATTGATATTAAATAAAAATCAATAAAATAAGTAAATAAAAATGAAAATAATATAAGTAAATAAAAATGAAGTAGAAGAACTCAGATTCCAAATGAACAAATTCAAACTTGAAAAGGATCTTTCTGATTCTCGAAGAATGAGGGGCAAGGGGATTGATCGAGAAAGATCTCTTGTTCTTATTATAAGATCGTGATTGGATCCGCATATGTTTGGTAAAGAGAATAATCAAAAACGGAAAGTGTTCAATTGGAACATGAAAACGTGACTAAATTGGTCCTAGTTACTCTTCGGGACAGAGTGGAAGAAGGGAGGGGATTCTCGAACGCGGAAAAGGATCCAATAACTTCGAAAGAATTGAACGAGGAGCCGTATGAGGTGAAAATCTCATGTATGGTTATGTAGAGTGGCAGTAAGGGTGACTTATCTTGATCAAACTATCGAAGCACACGATGTTTTGTTACCCAACAGGATTCAGTATCAATTCTTTCATGAAAATGATTTCCGTGTGAGTTTCATTTGTTTAGTAATGGGGACAGTTATTCTATATATTTTGATATTGAAAATCATATTTTTGAGATTGCCAATGATCATCCTTTTTGTAGTGAACTAGAAAGTTCTTTTTATCGGAATTCTAGTGATCTGAATAATGGATCTAAGAGTAAGAATCCCGACCACGATCGTTACATGGATGATACTCAGTATACTTGGAATAATCACATTAATAGTTGCATTGACAGTTATCTTCAGTCCCAAATCTGTATTGATAATTACATTGTAAGTGGTAATGACAATTCCAGTAACAATAATTCCAGTAACGATAATTCCAGTAACGATTACATTTCTAGTTCCATTTCTAGTAAAAGTGAAAATAGTAGTCAAAACGAGGATATGACAACGAGTGATCAAACTATACCAGAAAGTTCTACTCATATGGGTGTAACTCAACAATACCGGCATTTGTGGGTTCAATGCGAAAATTGTTATGGATTAAATTATAAGAAATTTTTTAAATCAAAGATGCATCTTTGTGAACAATGTGGATATCATTTGAAAATGAGTAGTTCAGATAGAATCGAACTTTTGATCGATCCGGGCACTTGGGAGCCTATGGATGAAGACATGGTCTCTCTGGATCCCATTGAATTTCATGCGGAGGAGGAGCCTTATAAAAATCGTATCGATTCTTATCAAAGAAATACAGGATTAACCGAGGCTGTTCAAACAGGCAGAGGGCAACTAAACGGTATTACCGTAGCAATTGGGGTTATGGATTTTCAGTTTATGGGAGGTAGTATGGGATCCATAGTCGGGGAGAAAATTACCTGTTTGATTGAATACGCTACTAAAGAATTTCTACCTCTTATTATAGTGTGTGCTTCCGGAGGGGCACGCATGCAAAAAGGAAGTTTGAGCTTGATGCAAATGGCTAAAATATCTTCTGCTTTATATGATTATCAATCAAATAAAAAGTTATTCTATGTACCAATTCTTACATCTCCTACTACCGGTGGGGTGACAGCTAGTTTTGGTATGTTGGGGGATATCATTATTGCCGAACCCAATGCCTACATTGCCTTTGCGGGTAAAAGAGTAATTGAACAAACATTGAATAAAACAGTACCCGAGGGTTCACAAGCGGCCGAGTATTTATTCCAGAAAGGCTTATTCGATCTAATCGTACCACGTAATCCTTTAAAAAGCGTTCTGAGTGAGTTATTTCAACTACACACTTTCTTTCCTTTGAATCAAAATTAGAACATTAAGTTCAATTATTTTGAGCAAACAAGTAATTAGTTTATCGGAATCCAAGTTAAAATTAGACGAATGGGGTTTTCTTTGTTGGCATAAGATCTAATTATATAAAGAATAAAAAGTCACAGAAAATCCGCCCCTTTTTCTATATTCCTGATTATTGATCAAGAAGCCTCTATTAACAAGATAAAAGATGAAATTCTTATTTTCGTGAAATTAGGCAAATCAAAAAAATATACTCTTCTCGTCATATATAATGAAAATCTATAAAATATAGAATTTTTTCTTTTTTTTATATCTTACGATAATCCTATTTTGACTAAGAATCCCTGATGGATGGGATTCAAACAAACCCTTCAATATATTCAATATAAATAGAATCTAATTAATTTTTAAGAAACTTTTTTGCTTAGTAAATGAAATTCGAAGACAAGAGCAAAAAATGAAGAAAATAATATCTCATCCATATCCTTTCAAATCTTTCATGTAGAAAGATCAAAAACTACATTATATACTCACTTAGATAGATACTTATATTTATACTTAATAGCTATTAAGTAATAATAATAATTCCAATTTAGAATTATCAAATTATAATAAGATATCTTTATATATAATAAGATATCTTTATATTATAAATATAAAATATAAATAATAATAACAGGTACAAATAGTAAATCGAGGTAGCCATTCTATGGTCTATCTATTTGGCTATCTTTAGTGAGATCGTACGAAGGGTATGTTATTAGTTTAGATCTAACGAATTTAATGAATTACTCCTAAAGGATCACATCAAACTAGTGCTAGTTGATGCGAGTTACTTTGGAAAAAAAAAGGACTAAAGTCAAATTCATTTGGGGTATTCTCTCAATTCCAAAAAAATAAACTGGATCAAGTATGAGTTGTCGATCAGAACATATATGGATAGAACCTATAACGGGGGCTCGAAAAACAAGTAATTTCTGCTGGGCTGTTATCCTTTTTTTAGGTTCATTAGGATTCTTGTTGGTTGGAACCTCGAGTTATCTTGGTAGAAATTTGATATCTTTATTTCCGTCTCAGGAAATAGTTTTTTTTCCACAAGGAATTGTGATATCTTTCTACGGAATCGCGAGTCTTTTTATTAGCTCCTATTTATGGTGCACAATTTCGTGGAATGTAGGTAGTGGTTATGATCGATTTGATAGAAAAGACGGAATAGTGTGTATCTTTCGTTGGGGATTTCCTGGAAAAAATCGTCGGGTCTTCCTCCAATTTCTTATAAAAGATATCCAGTCTGTCAGAATAGAAGTGAAAGAAGGTATTTATGCTCGTCGTGTCCTTTATATGGATATCAGAGGCCAGGGAGCCATTCCATTGACTCGTACTGATGAGAATTTTACTCCACGGGAAATGGAACAAAAAGCTGCTGAATTGGCCTATTTCTTGCGTGTACCAATTGAAGTATTTTAAGAAATGAGCCGGAATGCTTTCTCAGCAGGAGGGCAAAAACGCAAGAATGCTCTTTTTCCATAACATAACTTAATTGAGGTTTCTTCAGAACATTCATTCGAGTCAAAGCAGACATATATGGAACAAGTATAAAAAAAACTATTTTGGGGATCTTTTAGATGTATCGAAATATACATAACTTAATTCAATAAAAAAATAAGAAACAAATCGAAATATCTCATAATCAACCATTTAGAAATAAGGAAATTCCACCCTTTTTAACTTGTTGGAATTGAGACTTTAGAGATCATATCTTGTAATTTTTTCGAAGCTTATTTTTATACTTTTTGTGCTCCTTAATGACCAAAAAATTGAATCTCTTATAATGATAATTAGCAAATTTATGTCGTTTTTTGCCACTCATTTTTCACAATATTCTTCAGAAATTTCCCTCAATTATTCTATCCCTGACTACTCATAGTAAGTTCAATTTTTTCGAAATATTAGAGATTTTTATATAATGATAGAAAAGGAGTTCTTTCGTCTCAAAATCTGAATAATATTATTCATTATTTCAATTTTTCTGGGCATTCATCGAAAGGAGATATGTGCTTCGAATTTGACCAATTGAGATATAGGTAAACATTATTTTTTGATTATTTATCCATTCCAATTTTTCGTCTATTTCTGTATTTTTTTCTAAATTCATAGGTTCGATAACTTGTAATAGAACTGATGCGGGAGAGAAATATTAGATTACATAGAGTCGACGAATGAGATAGGTTCATTAACAATTCAGAGATGAAAAAATGGAAAAAAAGAAAGCATTCACTCCTCTTTTATATCTTGCATCTATAGTATTTTTGCCCTGGTGGATTTCTCTCTCATTTCAAAAAAGTATGGAATCCTGGGTTACTAATCGGTGGAATACTAGGCAATCCGAACCTTTTTTGAATGATATTGAAGAAAAGAGTATTCTAGAAAAATTCATAGAATTAGAGGAACTCCTCTTCTTAGAGGAAATGATTAAGGAATACTCGGAGACACATCTACAAAACCTTCGTATAGGAATTCACAAAGAAACAATCCAATTAATCAAGATACACAACGAGGGTCGTATTCATACGATTTTGCACTTCTCGACAAATATAATCTGTTTCATTATTCTAAGTGGTTATTCTCTTTTGGGTAATAAAGAACTTGTTATTCTTAACTCTTGGGTTCAGGAATTCCTATATAACTTAAGTGACACAATAAAAGCTTTTTCTCTTCTTTTATTAACTGATTTATGTATCGGATTTCATTCGCCCCATGGTTGGGAACTGATGATTGGCTTTGTCTACAAGGATTTTGGATTTGTTCATAATGAGCAAATTATATCTGGCCTTGTTTCCACTTTTCCAGTCATTCTAGATACAATTTTCAAATATTGGATTTTCCGTTATTTAAATCGCGTATCTCCGTCACTTGTAGTGATTTATCATTCAATGAATGACTGAAAAATTATCTACCTAATCCAATTAGAATGTTTCTTACTTTGCAGTTGTACATAAGTAAAAGCATTGAAAATCGTACTCACTCTTTATCTTTCTACCCATCCCGGAGATTCATCCTATATATTAATCCAGTCAAATTATTCCAGTAAATAACAGAATCGTGGATAGGAAACTCCATTAGTGACCTACCCCAATTTATTGTATAAATTTTCGGGATCAATGGTTGGACCATGCAAACTAGAAATAATTTTTCTTGGATAAAGGAACAGATTACTCGATCTATTTCCGTATCGCTCATGATATATATCATAACTCGTGCATCCATTTCAAATGCATATCCCATTTTTGCGCAGAAGGGCTATGAAAATCCACGAGAAGCGACTGGACGTATTGTATGCGCCAATTTCCATTTAGCTAATAAACCAGTGGATATTGAGGTTCCGCAAACGGTACTTCCCGATACTGTATTTGAAGCAGTTGTTCGAATTCCTTATGATATGCAACTGAAACAAGTTCTTGCTAATGGTAAAAAAGGGGCTTTAAATGTGGGGGCTGTTCTTATTTTACCAGAGGGTTTTGAATTAGCCCCTCCCGATCGTATTTCCCCCGAGATAAAAGAAAAGATGGGCAATCTGTCTTTTCAGAGCTATCGCCCAAATCAAAAAAATATTCTTGTCATAGGCCTGAAAAATTATCTACCTAATCCAATTAGAATGTTTCTTACTTTGCAGTTGTACATAAGTAAAAGCATTGAAAATCGTACTCACTCTTTATCTTTCTACCCATCCCGGAGATTCATCCTATATATTAATCCAGTCAAATTATTCCAGTAAATAACAGAATCGTGGATAGGAAACTCCATTAGTGACCTACCCCAATTTATTGTATAAATTTTCGGGATCAATGGTTGGACCATGCAAACTAGAAATAATTTTTCTTGGATAAAGGAACAGATTACTCGATCTATTTCCGTATCGCTCATGATATATATCATAACTCGTGCATCCATTTCAAATGCATATCCCATTTTTGCGCAGAAGGGCTATGAAAATCCACGAGAAGCGACTGGACGTATTGTATGCGCCAATTTCCATTTAGCTAATAAACCAGTGGATATTGAGGTTCCGCAAACGGTACTTCCCGATACTGTATTTGAAGCAGTTGTTCGAATTCCTTATGATATGCAACTGAAACAAGTTCTTGCTAATGGTAAAAAAGGGGCTTTAAATGTGGGGGCTGTTCTTATTTTACCAGAGGGTTTTGAATTAGCCCCTCCCGATCGTATTTCCCCCGAGATAAAAGAAAAGATGGGCAATCTGTCTTTTCAGAGCTATCGCCCAAATCAAAAAAATATTCTTGTCATAGGCCCTGTTCCTGGTCAGAAATATAGTGAAATCACGTTTCCTATTCTTTCCCCGGACCCCGCTACTAAGAAAGACATTCACTTCTTAAAATATCCTATATACGTAGGCGGAAACAGGGGAAGGGGCCAGATTTATCCTGACGGGAGCAAGAGTAACAATACAGTTTATAATGCTACAGCATCCGATATAGTAAGCAAAATCCTACCAAAAGAAAAGGGGGGATACGAAATAACCATAGCGGATGCATCGGATGGACGTCAAGTGGTTGATATTATCCCTCTGGGGCCAGAACTTCTTGTTTCAGAAGGCGAATCTATCAAATTTGAGCAACCGTTGACAAGTAATCCTAATGTGGGCGGATTTGGTCACGGAGATGCAGAAATAGTACTTCAAGATCCATTACGTGTACAAGGCCTTTTGTTCTTCTTAGCATCTGTTATTTTGGCACAAATATTTTTGGTTCTTAAAAAGAAACAGTTCGAGAAGGTTCAATTGTCCGAAATGAATTTCTAGACTCGCGGATTTATCGACCTCAAGTTTGTAAAAAGAACCAAATTTTTTTAGTAATTATGATTATCTATGATAAAAAATAAAATTCTAAAAAGCCTTTTGTTTGTTTATACTATTTTTCTACGAGATGCCGAGAATTCCTTGTACCACATTCCTAGCCACAGTATGTAGATTGTGAAGAAGACTATTTGACTTGACCCCTTCTTTCTTTGTTTTTGTTTTTTTTATAAAAATTTGGGGTGATGTTATTATGTTGCTATTGGCAGATTAAAATTTCATAAAATGCAGTTGAGTCTAATACAATGGACTTCGGCTAGATCCTATACAAAAGTAAACGCAAAATAGAACGGATAATTGAAGGGAACAAATATTTCTGGGAGGGGTTATTCGTCTTCCTAGTCTTCGACACAAGAAAGGGGTGTGAAAAATCCTTTTCTTGTGTCGAAATAATAATGATTCTTGATACTGTTCGTCAAACATTCCTAGTGTTAGTTTCTATTTTTTACAGACGTATCAGAACGTTTTTTTATAGTTATTACGTATTTTATTTATTCTTATCTTATAATAATTACGTATACTATAAATAAAAAGTGGTGGACAAACAAAAGAGGAGGGGAAAATCTGTTGAGTAAATAGAACTTCTTCAATGAACTTATAAACAAAAATATTCTAATTATTAAGAACTCAACGGGACCTTCTCCCTCAAATCAGACAAACAAAGAAGGGAATCCGTTGAGTTCTTACGCTTTCATGTCTACAACTCAATTCATCCGATTACTACAGGGATGAACCCAATCCGGAATATGAACCATAAAAGAAAACACCTACTAAACCGATCACAAGAATACCAGCTACAGTACCTATTATCCAAAGAGGAATTCTTCCAGTAGTATCGGCCATTTACCCCACTTCCCTCCACATTTCATCAAGTGGTCATGCTAGAGACATAAACAGTCATGGATAATTATGAGATGAGATCCTTCCGAATGGGGTAAGAGAAAGAATACCTAGAACGATTAGTCTATTATTTTAGTTCTCTCTCCTTTTCTTAATTGAAGAAATAATTGGAAAATAAAACAGCAAGTACAAAAATGAGTAATAACCCCCAGTAGAGGCTGGTATGATTCAATTCAACATTTTGTTCGTTTGGGTTTGATTGTGTCGTAGCTCTATAATTCGGATTAGGTTTATCGTTGTATGAACTGCATTGCTGATATTGACCCCAAAAAAGAAACGGTAGGTATAGCTAGGCCGTGAACAGTCAACCATCGCACTGTAAAAATTGGATAGGTTCGATCTATGGTCATTGAAGCCTCCTAAAAAGATCTACTAAATTCATCGAGTTGTTCCAAAGAATCAAAACGGCCGGTGATTAATGGAATTCCTTGTCGGTTTTCTGTGAAATACTCGTTTGGCCGAGGGCTTCCAAACACATCGTAAGCTAAACCAGTGCTGACGAATAACCAACCCGCAATGAATAGGGAAGGTATAGTAATGCTATGAATGACCCAGTAGCGAATACTGGTAATAATATCAGCAAAAGAACGTTCTCCTGTGCTTCCAGACATGCTGAGCTCCACATATTCTTGTATAGTCAAAAGGGGATCGATTCCGTAAAAGATTGGATCAGTAAATGGAAATTCACTGAAAAAAATCTTTGTGAGATCGTCAATATTGTACCGAGGGCGTCTTTAGAGTATACCGAATCAGTATAGCTATCCTTCTTCTGACACAGCAACGCACTTTCAATGAGTATTGGAAGGAGGTGCTAAATAATTTCTTTCTTCCGTTACTTGTTGTTTATCGATGTAAAATAATGTCCCATTCAATAGAAAATTATTGAATTGAAAATAATCTATTTCTCACCATTATGAGTTATTATGAGTTTAGGGCTAGAAACTGAGGATCAGGTAAAATATGAATCTGATAAGGTAGTTTCAAATAATTCATGAAATTGATTAGAATATTCCCACAATTGTAAGTAGATGTGAGATCTATAAATCTTTGTTATTCATAGTTGTAGAAGCGGTTTTTGTTGGAATCCTTTTTTTTTCTTTTAAGGAATTGGTTAATCGTCCAGTAACAAGTAAGAATAGCAAATTTTATTCGATAAACGAAAAAGAACAAAGAATGAAATAATTGGAATCACTAATAGTGCATGCATTGTTGTATTAGATCAAAATCGGAAGGTTCTTTCTTAACCTAACTACAAAAATGCAGATTTTTGGAAAGATACAAAATAGAACTTCTAAAGCAAAATAGAATAGAAATGACTAGTCTTAGAATATAGTTAAACCAAAACACCTATTTTTTTTCGAGTGATCATGTGATAACTTTTTGTTCTCATTCATTCAAGATATTATATAAGTGAACCTATTACGAAATCTAATTAGTTAAAATCAAAGTAAAAGTTTTATAAGATTACTGTTCGCTCTAAAATATAAAATTTATTCGATACAATAAAAAAAAAGAAATGATAAAAAGAGGAATAATTTAATAATTT